AAAAAAAAAAAAAAAAAAAAAAAAAAAGAAAGCTTCGCTATCTGTGAAATCTTCAGTTTTGGGAACCACTAATCTAATCTTATCTCACTTTACAGATAAGGGCACGTAAAACACTTGTGTGTTATGTAATATTAGTGGCATATGAGGTGTCTTCACAAAGGCTAAGTATTTAACTGTAAGTTCCTGGAGGGATGTGGTTGTGTCTCCCATTTTTTACACCCCATAATCGCAGTTTATGGCATCATGCATGGCATGTGAGGCACTCAATAGTTATCTAGATGGGCGTGGTAGACACACCTATGATCCCAGCACTTTGGGAGGCCAAGACGGGAGGATTCCTTGAGCCTAGGAGTTCAAGACCAGCCTGGGCAACAATGATACCTCATCTCTACTAACAGTAAAATAACTTAAGCTGGGTGTGGTGGTGCACGCTTGTAGTCCCAGCTACCCAGGTGGCTGAGGCAGAGGATTGCTTGAGCCTGGGAGGTCGAGGCTGCTATGAGCCGTGATCATACCCCCTGCACTCCAGCTTGGGTAACTGAGACTCTGTCTCAAAAAAAAAAAAAATCTATTGAATGAATAAATAAAATAGCCCGGCACTCTAGAACCTTAGATTGTAATGATACTTATTCTTATTGATAGAGCTAGTTAAACTCCTCCAGGGAGCCTCTGCCCTTTATTGCCCAGTAGAATGGATTCTCTGGGTGAATGATCCCAAAGGTCAAACAGATCAAGCATTTTCAAGAAAAGATAATCCAATAACCTGAATCATAGCAGGAACCACGAGGTACTTCACTTATATTATCTCATTTAATCTTCATGGTAATCTTACCAGGAGGGTAATCATTTGAAGCAAGAACAGGTTTAAGATTGCTTAAAAGACACAGATGTAAGTCTTTAATACAGATTGGGAAGAGGATTAGTTTTTCTGTCTCAGGTTCTTCTTCAGGATAAAGGATAAAGACTTTGAGATAGTTTAAAAGTTTTTATATAAATGCTCATTCATTGGGTTCAAATACTTTTAAAATGTCCTGGCAGTTGAAAGTTAAATAAGAAGCGGCCGGGC